GGTTAATAATAATTAACACCTTTGATTGGAATTAATGAATTCATTTTTCATTAACAATTATAATTTTCTGAATATCGAGAAAATATTCCAGTCATAGCTCACGACCAGTCAAGCGTCTCTCGGTACCCGAGGTCAAGCTAACTACGCAGTAACGGCGTCCATTTTGAGCGCACATTCCTTAAGAATTTGTGACGCCGTAAATTTATAAAATAAATACCTGGAAAAATGTTATAGATTTTAACGATTGAATTACCACTTAATTAATTATTTTATTATATTTATTATTTATGGAAAATTATTTAATTATTTATACGGAATAAATTTTAATTACCGGAATTGATTGTTGAGAAAACTGCGACGCATTTTCGAAATTTAAGACATCTGATAATTTTTTGAAATTACTTTTTCACCGAGGTGAATTTATCTATAATCTAATCGCCGTTCGCAAATTGCTAGAAATTTATTATTCCACGTGTTATTAATTATTGAGAATGGATTTATTAAATTTCGACGCAAATAAGACTGGTACACCCGCAGGAAAATTGAGGCACGAAATTTTCATGTTGAGTAAAATTATAATTTATTATCTAATTTAATTGCCAATTTCTGCCAGGGGAGTCTTATATCGAATTTATACCAATAATTTATTATCATCATTATCCCGGTAAAATTATTTATAAAACTATTTATTCGTGTGGATTAAATCCGAGAAAAATTTAGTTAAAATTACAAAAGAATATTCTAAGAATTTGTTAATGCACAGAGATAAGCTCGTGTTAAATTTGGAAGGAAAAGAAGCGTCGGTTTAAGCCGGAAATTTTAAAAAGTAAAATTTATTAATTTATGAGAATAAATTCAGGAGTTTTTATTTTGCGAGCTAATGACTGATGAGTTTTAATGAGAATCTAAAGTTGACATTTTTCGGAGTTAATTGTTGTAAATCCGGAAATAAATTAGTAAAGTAGAGTCGGTGTGTGTGTGAGACGTGTGGGGTATGTGTGTGTGAGTGCTACCAGAATTCCTTCGCAGTCGTGCAGTCCGTTGCGAGGTGTTTCTCTGGCGTAGAGCGTGAAGGTCCGGTGGACAGCGCAACGTAAGGGGTATGTGTGTGAGAGAGCTGCAGAGGCTTCTTGGCTTATGTTGCAGTCACTAGGCTGTTGCTTCTATAGCAAGGCGTTATTGATAAGCCCTCGTGCACTGCAGTCTTTGTACGAGGTGTCTTATTGATAAGTAGTTCTAAGTCGGAGTAGCCGGTTCCAGCCCGAAATCCTCCAGTAGTTATAAGTTGTAGTAGCGACTTCCCGGTGGAAAGCGTGAAGTAAGAAAATCGTAGTCATAAGTCGTAGTTGTAAGTGAGTAGTGTAAGTGAGTTGGGAGTACGTACAAGTGTACGAGTTGTGATTTTATTGTTAATAAATTTTGGCCAATTGTTAAATAAAGATTTAATTATTTCAGACCACCTTTCTCTCTCTCTCTCCCTGTAGAATAAGAAACTCAGCTCTGGCATCCGGTTCCAGGAAGCGAGAAAATAATCCTGGTGGCGCCCTATTTAGCATTAGAGTCATTTCGCTGTTATCTTGTTAATTATTAATTTTATTCAGGGCCAATAAGTACGGGGAGTAAACCACCCGTTACATTTGATTGCTTCACTATGTTTTCTATTTTTGTGATATCAGTAGAATTTATTTTAAATAACTTAATCGAAGGACATCTAGACAATAAAATGTTTTTCAGTAAATTCAAGTCTACGATGTCTTTACCTTCAGCTACAGCTTTGTCCGCAGTTCTTTTTAATGTACCACCCACGCCATCAGGTGCACCTTTACCATGGCCTGGTTCTGAATAGTTCCATGAAAAAAAAGTTATCCCGGAAAATAAATCATTCATATGGTGAGATACAATATGGAATATGAACTTATTTTTGTATTGATTTACAGGGCCATCACTTAGAATGTGAATTCTATCGATGTTTGAATATTGACCCTTAATCCATTCGAAAATTGGTGTCAAGTGAGCCCAAACCGCGTTAGAATCGTGTCTATTATTTTCAGATAGAGAGCAAAACGTGTGTGGCATAACAGTATCATTTTCACGCAAATATAAGACACCTGTATGAAGTGTAATTTGTTTTCTTGCTCCACCAAAGTGGACTGATTGTATCTCTTCGTTATATTTAGAACAATAATTTTCACTAAAGTCGATATGAATAAGAACTTCGTTCTCAGTCAAATTTTTTTTAAGTTCTGAAATAGTCTGATATTGATGAGCTATTGTTGCGACGTGCTGCAAAAACGAAGGTAATGTTTCTTCTAATTTTTGTATTAGTTCTCTAATTGGTATCTTGATCTCCTTTTTTCCAGGTTTACGTACTGTCTTCATTTTTTCATCTTTTTCGTAAGAAGTAGTTTCGTATATCCACTGATGGAATGTCACTATTCGGTTTGGTTGTGGAAGATTATATTCTATCATTTTATGTTGACATTTTTCACAAGCTCGGGTCAAGCATTTTGTTGAACTGACGTCACATGTTATCGTTGACAAAAATTTGGTTAAGTTGCAGTTTGGTAGCGCTTTATTTTCATGCAACTTCATAATCATTAGTTGCATATTTGCATGGATCATACATTGGCAGGTATTTCGGTCTTTGATATTCGCCCAAGTCACCCAGAAAGGTCGAAATCTACAGAATGTTGCTAAGCTCATTTTATACTCAACTGTAGCCAGAAATTTTTTGTGCAAATTTTTGATTGTGTCACCCAATAAGCGTTTTTGTTTCACAGTTCCTTTTGATCTGATAAAATCTTTCTTACCTGGACACATCCTGGAATTTTCATCTTTCTCTAAAAAATCTGCAACGTTTTGTTTAACTTTGATCAGTTGTGCACTTACTTTTTTACATCCACTTTTTTTGTGCGTCTCATGTTTAAAAAATGGTTTTGAGAAACTCAGTAATTTGTATTTTTTTAGAAGATCTGGTTTTAAAATTTCATAGTATTTTTTCTTATCACAATGTTTATTTAATTGAGTGTAGCTATTTTGGAGTTGTTTAGTAATAACTTCTGAAAAAATAAGCTTCTTTTTTACAATTTTAGGAACTTGAACATTCTTCAACAGTGCTGACACTTTAGCTTCAGGGGATGACAAAACTTTTTTAGTTTGTCGCTGACATCTTTTTCGAAATTTCTCTTTTTTTCGAGTTTCTTCTTTTAATTTTTTTTCTAATCTGGCAATTTTTGCATATTGTATTGCTCGACGTTTTCTTAGTTGCTTCCTTCTCTGAATAGCTACCATGCTTTGACGCTGAATATTGTTTTGATGAACAAGTTCTGTCAAATTCTTACCTATTTTAACTTTTCGGTTTCTATAATTTTGACTATTTTTTTTCCAATTTTTTCTTTTTAGTCTTTTTTCTCTGGAACTCATAGTAGCTATAGATTTAACTTGGCCTTTCTGTTTTTTCTTCAGATATTTAGCTCTTTCTTTTTCACGAAGTTTTTCTAATTTTGCAGGATCAGACTTCATTTTCTCTCGACGCTTCTTGTCGTATTCTTTCTTCTTTAATTTTGCTTCAGTATCCGACAACTTTTTATTTCTTGCCATTGTTTGGCCCAAAAATAAAGCAAAATGGTAATCAAAAAGTTTCTAAAAGCAAAGATGTACAAAAACTGTGGCGATCCAGTCTGAAAATCATTACCTCATAAATCATCATTCCCTCATTTTAATTCAAAAATAGGGAATGACGGTGAGGAATGACAAAATAAACCATAACCTAAAAAATCTCGCAACGTAACCTTTTGTAACCATCTAACTTTTCTCTACGCTTTCTACCTTTAAAAACATACTTTACTACGTCATCAAAATTCAAATATTACAATTACCTTTTTTATTCTTCGCTGTGATGGAATGATTGTTTAAAATGTAATCTTTAAAAAATTACAATGACATCTTCTTCCAACAAGTACTTTAACAAGCTTGAAGTCAATTTGCCATTTCAAACAAGCGACCGTATTACCAACTATCAAAAACTAATGAGACTATTACTAAAGTCCTCAAGAATATATCTACTTATCGACTGTTGGTAATGATGTGAGGGAATGATAAATTTTCATGGGACACATGTTAAGTCAACATTAGACAACTTGTTCATGACTTATGATCCTAAACTCAGAGAAATTTTGAAAAGTTGTCATATTTACAATAGACAAGTCATAGTTGCAAACAGATTTTTTAAGAAATTTTCAATAAAAACTTTAGACAATTTTTTAATCTGGAGTTTGGGACACAGTGAGGGAATGATTTTCAGAGTACTATATATTTATTATTCTTCACAAATGCCCGTATGGTTCCTAAGTTATGACCAACATTTTTAGCCTTGATGATATTCTTTCCGAAAAAAAAAAATACCATCCTAAATCACTTAGAATTATTGTAAAAATTGCTAGGACAGGAATTTCGAGTTTTCATGAGAATTACCCTTATATGTTATCATATATTACTTATATATAATTATATATTAATTACATATAATTATATATGATTATATGCTATTATATATAATAATATATAATTAGATGCAGCATTTTTTAATAATTATATATAATCATTAGGGTGCTTCATTTTTAGGCGATATTTTTTTTTCTCTGTGCAACTGGAAAATCTGATACTTTATGAAAAATAAAAAATTATGCTGCCGGGTAAAAGGCTTCAAGTGCAATAGCGGCTTAGCTCCTTTAAAAATTCAATTTCCTATTTAAATAACATAGAAAAAATTTTTTTTTCGGTTTCAACTTGATTTTTCGACGTGAGAAAAATTTTTTTGAGAAAAACGCATATATAGCTTTTGTAGAGCATAAAATTTGCTACAAAAAGTTCTTCTGCGTAAATTCCCCCCGACCAACAGCTTTTGAGTTAAGCATCGATATTGTTTTGACTTGTACTGATTCCAAATTCCCTCGAATTAGTCTGTACCTTTTATCCATGTGATTTTTCTAGCTAATATTAATTGTAACTTTCAATGCGCAATCATTATAACATTTCCGTGGCTTTCTTACAAAAATGAATAATAAATTTGTCACGAAGAAAAAAATTTGACACAAGCATTGAGTTTCAATTAAAGTAATTGGAGGTCTCATAAGTGAAATTGAAATCTGCCTAGCTTTTAAAATGCGACGAATTTTCCGTTAACTAAAATTTTCTCCGTGGCGTTAATTTTTTATAGAAAATTAGTGTACATGTTTTTTATGAATTCCATTGAAATAAGTAGCCAAATTTCTTTCTCACATCTCAAGTGCTTGGAAAATGCACTTATTTTAATCTTTTACATTAACTCTGCCATCTTTGTAATTTCCTGTTTCTCTCGAGATTCTTTCAAATTTTATATCTGTAGGAACTGTATTTGAAGAATATGAATTTTTTTAATAATTAACACCCCCACACTACTATGTGGGGGAGGAATTTCGTAAGATCCTATTCAACTAGGAGTAACCGTCGTGAGACGCAACATGGACTGGATTGAAGTAATGCTAACGCGGTTCCGATCCAGTCTTCCTCAAAATATCTATGGGGAAAGGAGAGAGGAGTTTTTTTTAGTCGGTAAAAATCATCTTTCAATGATAGCGGTCTCTTTGGAAGATTTTTTTCGCTTCTCTAAAATAAAAAAAAAAACACACACACACATACATACATATATATACATACATACATACATACATATACATACATACATACACCATCGCGGGAATAGTCAGGGAAGTTTCCTATAGGACCTCAAAACGTTGAGATCTGATGAAAACTCCATTTTCGAAAAACGGGGTAAAAACAATAACTTCCCGATTTTTGGAAATTTTCAATTTTCTTAGCGGGAAATTAAAAATTTTTTTAAACATGGTTTTCTTGGAATAACTTTCAAACGACTTTACCGATCGATTCCAAAAACTATTCAACTCTTAACATCAAAAAACCACGTCGATCGCCGCCAAGCCGGTCAAAATCGGTTGATTCGTTCGTGAGTTATCATTGACGAAAGAAAACCGAAAAAAATGTTTTTTCGGAATTACTTCAAAAATCCTAGTTCGATCAATTTAAACTTAGAAATTCTTCATAAAACTTAAGAAACTACGTCAAATGCCGCTATTCGCGTGAAAATCGGATGATTCATTCAAAAGTTATTGCGGTTTGAAAATTCAAAAAGTAGTGTTTTATCAAACTTCTATTACACTTCTGAGCTCGGAGAACTCAATATAATATGAAAATTATATTTTTAAGCTCGGGAAATCAATTGCTTCTAGCTCGAAAAGCTCAAAAATGAAATAAGTGCAATTTTGAGTGCTTAAATATGGAATTAGCGGAAAGTTGCAGGGATGGCCTTTAGGGTCAACCGTTTTCCTAATTTTTTTTTTTAAATTATCTACATACTATTCCGAATCGAATTACGCCATATTCATATTTTTCCGTGACTGCTGAAAAAAAATTGACTAAAAAAACACTTGTTAACTAGACTACAATCACCATCATTAATACCTGGGCATGAAGTTAGTAAGTCGTAACCAATTCCACCCAGGCATTAGTGATGGCGATTGTACTATCTTGACCACGCGAAGTGCGACGGTCGGATAAATTGCGTCACTGATAATGGGTTAGGTAATACTTATGCGTAATATTATTTGACATCGGGCTTAGACAAATAATCGAATTTATTATTCATTTAATTAATCCTTTTTTTCTTTATTAACAATTTTTACTTTTAAATAGTAAAAAATAAATCAAGTTTTTTGTTTTCAAAAATTTATTAAACTATTTAGGCACAAGTTTATTTGATTATCAATCATTTTCAATTGTTCTGTTTAATCAATTATCTATATAATATAGTAAAATAATTACTGATATCTTATCGCTAATACAATCTTTCATATATGACGTATTGAATCATCATCGCGAAATATGTATTCGTCATTGAGATTTTCAGTTTTTGTATCGATACTGACGCAGATCTAAATTTACGAAAATGTATACTATTTCGCATGAAAGAATTATAAATAGTCATTTTCCTGCATAATATTTTTTGTATATTGAAGCAACCCTTTCAATATGAAAAGATAATATCAAAGTTTTATCTTATTTACTATTCAATTTTGAAAATAATACTTCATGAAATATTTCGATGCAACAAATAAGAATCTTAGTGGGATTACTACAAAAAAGTTTATAGGAAAGTGGCATTAAATTAATCATTAGAGAAATTTCATATTGTCAAGCTCCATGTTTATAATTGAACAAAGGTATAAGTATTTTCTAATTATTAAAGCGAAGCATTAACAACTAATGAATCCAGGCGCGTAATAAATGTGATAAAATACTAGTCATTAAGTTATCTGTAGAACAAAATACATATAGATAATATTATCTATAATTGTGAACTATTCAAGAACATATATTTATAACACAATTATAACGCTAAATTTTTTTTTATCATATCCGATAAGTGTATTGTGTCAATAGTATTGTGATAGTACTTATGTAACATGATCGCCTCGTAAGAAAATATTTAATTTGACTGTTTTCTACTATAAAAGATCTATTTATTGGTTATTTTACCAAATAAAATAAATCAAATTTTATGAGGGGTATTTTATACATGAAAAAAAATTAACTTAATTATTTTCACATCGTTAAAATCATTTGTTAAAAATTGATAGGTAATTAAATCCCTGTAACTCCTCGCTAGTTTTGACCAAAATAGCATTGGAGCATTCAAAAAAGACAAAACCACCGTAGCCTAATATTAAAATTATATTTCAATTTGCATAAAACTTCATTATTTGCAAATATACTTTTTTTGTAAGCTTTTTTAAGCGTGTTGAAGATTATGAAGACAATTAAGATCGTTTCCACAAACAATTCTGTGTTTAAAGTATACCAAACGATCGCCATATTTCTCGGTGAAGATAACCTATTCTCATCATTTCCAAACAATCGGCGCCCTGATTAAAAAAAAGTATTGAGACAAAGAAAAATGTATTGGTTTTTTAGGCAATCCAATACTTTTCAATACTTTTTTCTTTGTCTCAATACTTTATTTTACTCAGGGCGGAGATAAAAAAAATTTTTCTTTTTAGTGATATAATCAATATTAAACGTTTTGTTATATACATAAGTTATAAATACGCTTACAAGCACATAACATAAACAATATTCATGCTAGCAAATACAAGAATTATAATATATGTATATCCATTTGTAAATAAAAAATTTTTTCCGCACATGAATCAAATTTAAATTCCGGCGTACACATGATTTAAATGTAGAAAAAGGCACTTTCCTTTGATATCAGAAGACAAACGAACACTCATATTAAAATGGCCCATCTTCATGTAAAATATGTTATATAAATACAATCAATCAATCATTATGCATATTTTAAACACAAAAGAGCAAATATTTTTAGAAAAAATTGATATTACTGTGAAAAAAATTTTATATAAGAAAAAAAAAACAGTTTTCCATAATACACGCTTATTAACTCTGAAGTCAAAAGTTGAAAAATAGTCCTTACTATAAAAATAAGAAGTTTATCAATTAAATGATCGTTCTTTTTACAAAAAATTTGATGAGTATCATAATGTTTTAAGATTAAACAAACTTTAATATTCCTATAGAAAGAGTTTAGTAAAAATCTCATTTTTCATCAATAACATTTCATATTAAAATATTTGGTCTCATAGTCTTTTTGTTGCAATTAATCAAAAATTATATATGTATATATAGATAGATATATATTTTTTTACCCGTTCTATTGTTTACGAATGAAATGATAATCTAAAAAATCTTGATGTATAGCAAATATAAAATCATACATAACTTTATTCTTTGTCATGTAACATGATATAACTCTATGTCGCAAAGCATCTCGAAGAGATAGAAATGGCATTTGATATTACATTCAGACGAGTCATTCATTTGTGGATGGACATGATGAACTTGCAACTAGCCAAGCATAAAACCGAGGTAGTGCTCATCACTAGCAGAAAAACGGTAGAAACCATCAAGTTGAGAGTCGGAGAACAAGAAATCACATCACAACCATTTATCCGTTATCTGGGAGTGATGCTGGATGCACGACTCAACTTCAAGCAGCAGGTGGAACATGTCAGTGCCAAAACGTCAGTAGTGAGGGCTAGTCTCGCACGGCTGATGCCTAATATTAGAGGCCCAATGCAGAGCAGGAGGCTACTATTGTCATCAGTAGTCACATCAGTGCTCACTTACGGAATATCCATTTGGGCTGATGCACTGGAAACCCAAGAATCATGGAGAAAAGCTGGACCAATATACCGACTGCGTGCCCTACGAGTAGCTAGTGCCTTTCGCACTATATCAGAAGAAGCAGTGTGCGTCATTGCTGGAATCCTACCTCTTAAAGTTCTAGCAGAGGAAAGACGGGCCCTTTACAAACGTTTCACTATCAGCGTTCTTTCGTCGAGATAGTCATCAACTATTGCTAGATTTTCTTGCTTCGCGTCAAATTTGTGCTCTAAAGTACCAGTACGCCGGCTTGTGAAAACCCCAATTTCTCAGCCGTGGCATAGCGGCGTCACATGAGGCAGCAATTTCTTTCATCACACATAGCACCGTTTTTTCTGTCTCGCTGTGGGTGTTTGGAGTCAGGTTATTCTGGAGAGTAGACCAGCTTCGTGTGAGTGACTTTCGCAGTGCCTCTACATCAAGCTTCCTGGTGTTCCACTTCCGCTTAGAAAGGTTGCGTTGTGAAACAGGAGCAGATGCCAGTCCAACGTTGAATGTCACAAACTGGTGATCACTGCCCCTGTATTCTTCGAATACAGTCCAATCTTTGATTATGTTGGCAGTCCTTGGAGTCGCCAACGAAACGTAGAGTATGGATTCTTGGTACCCTGGTCTTCTGAAGGTCGTAGTGCTCCCAATATTCAACACTATGAGGTCAAGTCTACCTATGACGTCAGCGACCTCGTTACCTCTGGTGTCGGAGAAAGCAGTGTTCCATTCAGCCGATTTAGCGTTGAAGTCACCAACTACGATGACGTCGCCGTCAAACTTAGTAGTCGCATCTACTATATTTGTCAGTTTCTGTCGGAACACAGTAATCCTTTCATTAGGTGAGAGATATACGCTCATGAAGTAGGTTGTGGGGGTTTGAATCCAGACAAAACTTGCTCCACTTCCGCTGTTGTTGACGGTAACATTCTTTGTGTTCACAATCCAAATTGCTGCTGTGCCAGTTTCGTCTGCGAACCATGCTCTATCTTGGAGGTTCAGATATTGTTCGCAGATGAGGCGGGAGTGACTGTGACTCTCTGATTTTTTTACGTGTTGCGAAAGCAATACGTTTAAATTTTGGGGATCATCACAGTTAAGCAAGTAACGTCCTCTCCAAAGTAGGTGGCAGGACGTGTAGAATTGTGTTGCGTCATTGCCAAACTGTCACCGAAACTAACAGTTACCGCTGCGAAATCTTACCGAGCGAGGCCTCGTGACGCTGTCAGATTTTTTTGACAACGTAGGTAAGCTCAAAGATTCGGGGAGTAAACTAGACAGGTACACACGAACGAGACTTTTGCAGGGGGGGATAAGTATTATGGCTCAAACAGGTCTTGCGGCTGTACCTTCCCGTATGGGCCCCGCTGGTAACTGGTTCGGTTGTTATTATATTACCGATCAGGCTAACGCAGTCGTTGAATGGGTTTCTTTTTTTTTGTACAGTTGACTGAGTACGAGGACAGATCGACATTAGATCCATTCACATCTGTCTAATGATAGCGTAAAAGCTTGAGGGCAGGGTTTTTCCTTGCCCATAAACTTGGCTGTGTTTTTGTTGCGTGGGAGTAGGACAAATATACGTGCGAGTATAGCTCTTTTGAGCCCAGGTATCGGCCTTTTCGGAGTTAGGCGAAAGCCTCACCATATATTCTTCTGTTCGCAGATGAAGCAAACGTCGATCTTTTTTTCAAAGACTCGCTAGCGAAGTAAGTTCTGTGTCAACGCACATCTATTCAGGTTTTCTTGTAGTATGCGCGTCATTTCTGCCCTCATCTTGAGCGTCTTTGTCCGGTGTATAGAGGAAGCAATTTGGCTTCTCCGTGCAGTTTACGGACTTGTGGTTTTTTCCGCCACATTTATAGCAACACTTGCTTCTGTCCGGTCCCGTACATTTTCGTGTTTGGTGCTCAAAACCAAGGCATTTAAAGCATCGGGTTACTTTCACAACTGGGCGTATGCGACAGTTAACCCATCCGATCTTTATACGGGCCTTGTCAAGGATCTTGATCGCGCTAGCCTTGTCTATCTCGCAGAAGGCTGCCCGATTGTCTCGTGGTGTAGGTTTTGTCAAATTCACACGTTTTATCTCCAGGCTGTCGGTGAAGTCACGTTTAAGTGCTTCATGGACGTCGCTCTCGGTAGAGACTCCATCCAAGTTAAGGATCTCGATCGTTGTTTTTGGTGTGAGCGTTCTGACCGTACCGATGTTAGCGGTTGCTGTTTTTATCGCAGCCGTAAAAGCAGCAGTGTCTTCAGTCTTGCGACCCATTTCTAGAAAAACGCCCCCGCGCTTTGTTTGTTTGATCGACTTTATGTCTACTCCAGTCTCTATCGGGTTAACCTTGGTTTTGATTTCCTTGAGGAGATCGGCGTACGTTCGCCCTTCAGCTGGTTGGACAAGTACAGCCTTTGTTCTTGTCTTCTTCATCCTCGGTTTCTTAGAGCCACCCTTACTTGGCTGGTTTTAAGCTTCAGTAGATTATGCCATTGGTTCCTGTTCTGTTTCCTTTTTTAGATAGATTTCACAGACATCAATCTTTTGCATTGGTCCTCATATCGGAATTTACTCGGAATTTTGTCGTAATATCTCTTAACTAGTCGAGTAAAGCTCAAAAATAACGTTAGTTAAAAAATTTATATATGTATTTTCTGAAAACGAGTTTCAGATTTGTACTTTTAACTACGTGCTATTTTTTCAAAAACTTTTTTTTTTTTCATTTTAGTTCCGGCGATAACTTGTAACGGGGTGTTTTTATTCCCGCCGTTCAATAGCAGCCTTAATTTATTAATTAGATGTTAACTACAAATACCATGAGATTATTATTGAAGATACTAAATTTAGGGCGCCACCAGGTTGTTACAACGGTGTCCTGGAAACCGTAAGAGACATGAGAGATAATCTACAGGGTAGAGAGATTTAGGAAATTATCTGGAAATGAATAAAATTAATAATTCGTGGTTACCAATTATTTATTTAACAATATCACACTCACACGCACACTATAAATTCTATTGCCAATTTTCCATACCTGATTCCTTAATTAATACCCGTAAGACAGAGGGGAAACCGTACCATAATTCATGGGTACGAGGACCACGTGACCTCCAATTATTTACCGATATTCCAATTACCAATGACCAATTTTATTATAACTTCTAATGTAGAGGGAAAATCGTACCATGTATCAGAAGTTATTCATCCACGATCTCACTCTCTATCACTCATAACCCAACCAAAACTTATTGAAATTAACTGTAAATTATCTAACTGAATTAACAAAATCATCCGGTGACTATTTTCAACACAATAGAATATATAACGCCAGTAAACGTGACCTTGTAATTTTTAGACGCGCAGTTAAGACTTACTGCGTAGTAACAAAACTAATACACCACTTTCTTATAAAATTTTCCAGTTAACGACCAATAAATTAAATTTAATTAATCGAATATTATCAATACTTAATTTTACTCAACCGGAAATTATCAATAATTAATTAAATTGATTTATAACACTGACTATAAAATGGCGCGTAATTATCTTAACACCAAAATCCGTCTCAAGGTTAACTAATATATTTCCGGGTGTCGGACCACAGAATTATCTAGCAATTTTAATTTAACCAATAATTAATTTAATCTATAAAACCCAATAATTATTTTAATTTAATAAAACCCAATTAAAATAATTAAACCTTGTCCAGAAGAGTACATAAGACCGGGTGCTAACCACAGTCGAATTTTTGCCCACGAGACTTGACAAAGTACCTTGCAATGGACGAGCTGCTTCCCGCCAACTTCCAGCCACGGCTTTGTTCTGCTGCCGCCTCGTCGTTGCTCGTACTCTCGGGGGTTTTGCACTCCTTACAACTGCAACAATATTTCCTAGACGTACCAATTGGGTTAGTATAATGTTATTTTATTAATTAAGAACAATTAATAAATGTTTAGCATCGCTTGCGTTCCAACTAAGTGAACGTGCGACTGGATATTTACCTGTTTATTCCAACTGCGTCTGGAACGTTCGGTAGTACAACCTCTTCTGTCTTGTCCGCCGGCCGCTGCTTCACCCGAGCTCGCTCCGGCCCGTCGCCCCACTCCTTACTACCTAAAATGCCCGAGACCATCGCGCACTGGTGTCGCGTCGATAATTTATCGAACTCGCAACGGTTCAAACTAACTACCAGTGGTAACAAAGTACCCTGTTACAAACTATACTTACACTAATTTAAAATCCGTCATTTTTTTTAATTTCAGATCAGAAGGAAAAATCAATCGATACCCGCCGGTCAGGTCCATTTTTTTAGGAGAGGGGAACTTCAGCGCCATTTTTATAATTTAAAAAAAAATTTTTTTTGTCTTAATTTTCATTTTTATGTAGTTGATAAGTAATAGAATAAGTGTAATAAAAATTTGAATGGATTAGTCTCATATTTACTTTCATATAGAAATAAAATTTTTCAAATAGCTTAAATTTTAGACCGCTAGACCACCCGGTCCCCTTAATAGACCAAAATCAACGGGGAAAATTTTTGAATTTGGATTTTTGTTTATTGTTATTTTGATCAAATGTTGTTATTTTTAACTTTCCGCTGAAAATCGAAGATTTTCAAAAATCGGGAAGTTATTGTTTTCACCCCGTTTTACAAAAATCGAGTTTTCATCAGATCTCGACGTTTGAAGGTCACAGGAAGCTTCCCTGACTATCCCCGCGAGGCTGTCACTATGTCTGTATGTATGTGTGTGTGAGTGTGTGTGTGTGTGTGTGTGTTTTTTTTTTTTATAGAGGAGGTAAAATACATTTACGTATGCCAGGACTTGGTGTTGTTGCCAGGACTAGGTGTTGGTGCCTGGGTATGTCGGACTCAGAAGTCAATACTATTTTGCAATAACACCGACTAAACATCCTCCTCTCTCGTTTTCCCATAGATGTTACAGGGAAGACTGGATCAGGACCACGTTAGCATTACTTCAATCCAGTCCATGTTGTGCCTCACGACATCTACTTCTTGTTATTACTGGTTTCTAATCCCTTTCTGCGATTTTTTCTTTCAGAAGACGCTGCGCCTAGGCTGCTACAGCTGTCCAGTTTTCTTCTTTTTTGATCATGCAGGTTACCAAGCTCTCAGGGGAGAGCGCGGTGCCCATTGTTTCTTCAGTGCAGATTCTATCGTCCTTCCACCGATCACACTCGAAAAACGTGTGCTCGGCGTTGCCAATTTTGTCTGGACAGTATTTGCACGTTGGCGTGCTGTGCAAACCCATCTTGAAAAGATAGGCATTGAACTGCCCATGTACCGTCTGTAGCTGGGTCAGAAAAAAGTCCGTGTCCCCGTGCTTCCGAGAAAGCTAGACGTTGATGTTTGGGATCAGTCGCGCTGTCCATCTGCCTGTCTCTCCCGACATCCACCGGTCCTGCCACTCTTGCTGCGTTTCCGTTTTTATCCTCGTTCTTGCCTCCTTCATGTTTTCGCCACTGATTTTAGCGTCGTAGAGTCTTGCTCTCTCGAACGCTAATAGGTTGATGGGCGCAGCTCCCGCAATGACCAGTACAGCCGCTTCGGAAACCGTGCGGTAGGCGCAGGCAACTCTGAGAGCGCCTCGCCGCTGCACTGCTGCCATTTTCCGCCGATAGGTTTTCTGCTTTAATATATCTGCCCATATTTCCGCTTCATATAGCAGTACCGAATGGACTGCTTCCAGAAGGACTCTCCTCTTTTTGGTTCTTGGTCCCATAGTATTCGTCATAATTCTTGCTAGGCTAGACACCGTCTTGCTGGCTTTCTGGCATGCATTATCGAGGTGTTCGCGGAAAGATAGTTTCTCGTCTATCATTACCCCCAGATAGCGCAGGGCCCTTGTTGACGTTAGTGTTGTTCCTCCCATGTCCATAGCAAATGGTTTTGGGAACCATTTTTGGCGAGTCAGAACGACCATCTCGGTTTTGTGATTTGCGAGTTTCAGGTGGTGTTTATCGAGCCAAGTCTCGACAGCATCAATGGTTTCCCGAACTAGTAGTTCGGCCTCCTCTACGCTGTCTACTATTATCGTGACCGCGACGTCGTTTGCAAAGCCCGTTAGCTCCACTTGCTTTGGCAACGGGATTTCCAGAAGCTCATCGTAGTCCACGTTCCATAGATCGGGCCCCATTATTGAGCCTTGCGGTACGCCAGCCGTTATGGCGTATTCTTGATGGCCTTCCGTGGTTTCTGCTATTAGCTTTCTTTCATCAAGGTAGTTGTCGACTAGTGCCAGATTCTCTGGCTCCACGTCAAATCTGTGCTCCAGGGCGTCCAAAATATCTCTCCAATTTGCGCTGTTAAAGGCATTTCTAATGTCTAGCGTGAGGAGAAGACACACCTTGCGGGCTTTGAGGCTACCAGTCCATGCTTCTGTCGCTGTCGCTACGACTGTCTGGATCGCGCCGACTGTTGAACGTCCTTTCCGGAAGCCGTGTTGGTTTGCGGCAAAACCTCCAGCACGGTCTATGTCGTTGCGAAGTCTCCCTTGGTGTGTGTTTGTGTGTGTGTGTGTGTGTGTGTGTGTGTGTGTGTGTGTGTGTGTGTGTGTGTGTGTGTGTGTGTGTGTGTGTGTGTGTGTGTGTGTGGATGTATGTGAACCTCTCATAACTTTCAAACGGCTTGAACGATTTTATCACGGTTAGTGCCATTCGAAAGGGCTTGACCAAACTCAGATTTCCAATACACTTTGGACCGATTCGGACCGGTAGATTTTGAGAAATCGCAAAAAAACTACAAAAAAAATTTTTTCAAAAGTGGTTTTTTTGGAATAACTTTTAAACGGCTCTACCGATTAATTTCAAAAACTAATCAGCTCTTAACATCAAAAAACCACGTCGATCGCCGCCCGTCCAGTCAAAATCGGTTAATTCGTTCGTGAGTTATCGTTGAGGAAAGAAAACCGAAAAAAGCGTTTTTTCGGAATTACTCCGAATTTTTCTACTCACTCAATGTAAACTCAAAGATTTTTATGAAGCTTAAAAAACTGCGTCGAATGCCACCAACCGCGTGAAAATCGATTTATTCATTCAAAAGTTATTGTGATTTGAAAATTAAAAAAATAGTGTTTTATCAAACTTATATCAAACTTTTGAGCTCGAAGAGCTCAAAAGCATACAAAAGCTATTTTTCGAGCTAGGAGAGCTCAAAGTAATACACAAATTGTATTTAAGAGCTCGAAGAGCTCTAAAACGTCATAAGTGCAATTTCAAGCGTTTAGGTATAGAATTGGCGGGAAGTTGCAGGGATGGCCTTCAGGGTCAACCGTATTTCTAATTTTTTAAACCAATGATCAAAAAATCTCAAAATTGATCAGGAGGCTTCTTTTGGGGGGTACTAAAAAATACCAAAAAATTGAGAATATCTAAAATTTAAATTTTTGAAACCGTCCGATTTGGCGTGGAATGCCCTTATATATGTCGTAGACAGATCGTGAAATTAGACAGTTC